AAGTTATTACCTACCATTAAATGAGCAACATGGTTAATTAAAATACTCGCCCACTATTTGAATCTTTTTGTTTTGAAGTTTATAATCTTATCCAGCTGATGATCGAAGACAATCATGACATTGATTACTCTAGGATGGCTGCTTTTTTTTTTTTTTTTTTTTTTAACTTTTTCCTCTTCTAGAGACACGATCCAATGGTGGGAAGGAGAGAGTAAGCATCTTAAAGACGTAATTAAATCACCTACACTAGGGCTATGGTGATTTTTTTTTTTTAGTAATAATGATCAGATGTGTCTGAATTAGTTTACGCATGTACTTTAACTAATTCTTTCTCTAGTCTTATCAAAGACATGTCATTCATGCCGAAACTAAAGAGTTCATGAGGGATAAATCTCTCATGATCTGAATATTACTAAGTTTCAAACTCATGGAATCGCTATGGTGGTTGGATTGTTTGAGAATCCAAGCAACTTGGGCCTTTTGTCCCGTTTAGGCTTGTTCAACTATAAAATAAATTCAAGTGATTTTTAAGCTTATTTAAAAAATAAGTCAAATCCAATTAATGTGTGTAAGGTGGCTCAAATCTAGTAGGTTCTTGTTTACAAACACTCCTTGTTTTGATTGTCAAACAATCTCAAATTTATCCCAAAATAGCTGCCGACAATATATACTTCTCTCTCCTCCCTCTTTTCTCTAATAGGTTGTTTAGAAATTTGAACTTGTAGGATTTTATTTTATGGTGGATGCAAGTAGGATAGATTTTGTTTTTGAGAGATAAAAATCATTTATTTAGTTCTGAATGCTTAATTTTTAAAAACTTTTGGCCATATTTGGTTCAAGTTTAACTCATGCTCCTAAATTTGTCTAGTCGAACTCGAAAAAAACAAGATCAGTAATCAAGGACCATTACTATTAAGCCAAATGTGAGCAACAAACTCCACTCAACTCAACTCAACTAAATTAAACCAATACCCCACACGATGATTATTTATANATCAGTAATCAAGGACCATTACTATTAAGCCAAATGTGAGCAACAAACTCCACTCAACTCAACTCAACTAAATTAAACCAATACCCCACACGATGATTATTTATATGGGATTCGTGTTAGGTTTTCACAGGTCCAATTTCCATTGAACATTCAAATAAAATGAAAGACTGTGTATGCTCGTTTGTGTCTCTAACTCTATAATCTCAGATTGGTTAATGGAAAAAATTCATNTATCTAACAAAACACCTTAGCCAAATCGAAATTACAATTTCTCAGTAAAAATGACCGAATAAAAGAAAAAACTTGATTATTAAAAACTTACTTTCAAGTCAATGATGGTGATCAATATTTTCAATTCCTTTTTTTGGAGAAATAATCAATTGATTAAGAAAAAAAGACTTTGAGATCAAATGAAAATAAACCAAGAAGATACTGCAATCGAAGAAATAAAATCACCAAGCCAGACGTTGAACAAAATCGCAAGAAAGCCTACCGTTGAAGAACATGTTTTAAGGCATAGATAATACAAAACTGCAATTCAAAATTCAAAAAAGAATGATAATGTCTAATTAAATCTTTACATATTGGATTAGATACATAACTACCAATTAAGAATGCATAATTTAAGGGGGGATATGTAGGTAAAAAAAATTTGATTTCATTTGAATTTTGTACCTAACCACAATATAATTTATTAAAATTGAACTTAATAAAGTACAGAACTTATTCATACACTTTTCTTCAAATAAGTCTAAAAAATTATACTCATACCTTAAAAATCCTTAATTAATTATAAAGCAATGTCGGCCCAATCTTTAGGGCACTTAGGTCATTGCCTAGGGCTCCCAAATTAGAAGAAAATTTTAGGGCCCCATAATGAAATAAACAATGATATATAATTTAAATACTCAAAATATTTTAATCATTGAATTAATAGTGATTGCTTACTTTAAACAAAATTCACTATTTATATAATATACTTGGTCTTCAAATTAAGTGCAACTAGTATTATTGTAAAATTTTAGAACCCCTTTCAAAAAAATATAAGGTCCTAAAGTTCAACTTATTTTTTTATCTCACCTGATATTTATATTATATGTGTTATCACTTTGCCATCTTATTATTGAAATCAATTGTCTATCCTATAATAGATACGAATAATAATTTTACATTTATATAAACTAAATTTGAGGTCACTTTTTAATAATTTTGTTTACAAAGCACAAAATGACTATAAAATAGATTGAATAAAAATAGTGCACTAACTATCTTTTTTATTTAAAAATAGCTCATTTTCTCTATGATATCTAACAATTAGGGGTAACTCGTGCCTGCAGGCACGGTGCAACGTAAGTGAGAAGTAATAGATTTAGGGAGAGAAATTCAATTTGAATGATTTTAAAAGAGATGTTGGTAGCCATTGAGATTGTCAGATAGACTTATTAAAATTTGCTCTGTTTTATTTTATAAATGTCTCAATTATTTTGGGACTACTCAACTTGTATAAATTCCTATTTTTATATACATTTAGAAAAAAAAAATATTTTATTAGTCAAACTAATTTTCAATTATGTTTCTCTTTTATCTTAAACAAATAGTACGTATTATTATATTTAATTTTCGTATTTGACTTTGATTAACACAATTTTTATTTATAAAATTTTAAATTTTGAATTTGAATTAGTTTGTTATATCTCAAAAGAAAAAACAAATAATTTTGTAAATAAATATATTTTAATAAATATTTAATATTACTATTATTACTGAATAAATACTTATAACACCTCATATAACATTTTCGCCTAGGGCCCAAACTAGGTTGGGTCGCCCCTGTTATAAAGTCAAGTTTATGTTAATTATTGTCTAGAAACATGACAGTGTGTGGTTAAGAGCACGTTTTGTGGAAAAATCTACCCATGAAAAGTTAAAAATTGTTCATTAATTATTAAATTTAAGTGTAACTGTAAAGTTGTAATAATTGACATAAAATTGAGTTTTGGTAGGTTTGACTTTAAAATAGATTGTATTATGAAAAATAAAATAAGAAAAACTTTTCTTATATGTACCTAATACACGGTGACGTGCAAGTTATTACCTACCATTAAATGAGCAACATGGTTAATTAAAATACTCGCCCACTATTTGAATCTTTTTGTTTTGAAGTTTATAATCTTATCCAGCTGATGATCGAAGACAATCATGACATTGATTACTCTAGGATGGCTGCTTTTTTTTTTTTTTTTTTTAACTTTTTCCTCTTCTAGAGACACGATCCAATGGTGGGAAGGAGAGAGTAAGCATCTTAAAGACGTAATTAAATCACCTACACTAGGGCTATGGTGATTTTTTTTTTTTAGTAATAATGATCAGATGTGTCTGAATTAGTTTACGCATGTACTTTAACTAATTCTTTCTCTAGTTTTATCAAAGACATGTCATTCACGCCGAAACTAAAGAGTTCATGAGGGATAAATCTCTCATGATCCGAATATTACCAAGTTTCAAACTCATGGAATCGCTATGGTGGTTGGATTGTTTGAGAATCCAAGCAACTTGGGCCTTTTGTCCCGTTTAGGCTTGTTCAACTATAAAATAAATTCAAGTGATTTTTAAGCTTATTTAAAAAATAAGTCCAATCCAATTAATGTGTGTAACGTGGCTCAAATCTAGTAGGTTCTTGTTTACAAACTCTCCTTGTTTTGATTGTCAAACAATCTCAAATTTATCCCAAAATAGCTGCCGACAATAAATACTTCTCTCTCCTCCCTCTTTTCTCTAATAGGTTGTTTAGAAATTTGAACTTGTAGGATTTTATTTTATGGTGGATGCAAGTAGGATAGATTTTGTTTTTGAGAGATAAAAATCATTTATTTAGTTCTGAATGCTTAATTTTTAAAAACTTTTGGCCATATTTGGTTCAAGTTTAACTCATGCTCCTAAATTTGTCTAGTCGAACTCGAAAAAAACAAGACCAGTAATCAAGGACCATTACTATTAAGCCAAATGTGAGCAACAAACTCCACTCAACTCAACTAAATTAAACCAATACCCCACACGATTATTATTTATATGGGATTCGTGTTAGGTTTTCACAGGTCCAATTTCCATTGAACATTCAAATAAAATGAAAGACTGTGTATGCTCGTTTGTGTCTCTAACTCTATAATCTCAGATTGGTTAATGGAAAAAATTCATGTCAAATGAAGATTTTCATTGCTACAAGTTTTCCTTCTTTCACTTTTTTTATTAGCAGCCAAACGAGGAAAAGAAAGATTTTACTGGTTCTCTATCTTCTTTCAATTTCTCTTGGCTTGTATTGTTCAAAGTACTAATATCCTATTTTGTGATCCATTACGCAACCTCTGTAGAAATATAGTGGTGGCCATTTTGTGGATTTAGTTATTTTTTTCTTCTTTACTTTCCTTTTGTTTATTACTTTATCTTTTTCAGTTACTTATTTTAACTTTTTTGAAGAGTTTTACTTTAGGTTATTGGATTTTACATCACCCATGATGTTGAGTTTTCACTTTATACTCTCAAAAATTAAATTTCTTTCATTACGCTCTCAATATATTAAAAGTGCTACAATGTAATCCTTTACTTAGCTTTGGCTGCTCAATCCATCAAAAACCACCCCATTGATATTGATAGAATAGACAATGGACACTAACAAAAATTTACAATACTTTCAATATATTAAGGGTATATGTAAAAATTTTAATCTTTAAAAATATAAAAATGGGATTATTAAATTTCTTAGGGGCAACATACAATTCATTGTTTTTATTTCATAATTTTTGTTTTCCCTTTTTATCGGACCATATAGTGGTGAGCCCATTCCATCTCAAAGAATGTGACATTTTTTTTTATTGAACAATTAGGAATGTCCTGACCAACTTATGCATACTTCAATTAATTCTATTCTCGAACCGATCAAAAGCAAATCATTCATATCTAGTATTAAAGAATTGTTAAAATTCAAACTCAGAATATCTAAATTTACAATTCGTCTTTATTATCAATTGAACTACTCTAGATAGCAAGGTGTCATGACAGCAGAGCTGTGTACAGCAATCTACACAATATATGAGCATTTGGTCTTCTGGCATGATTCTCGGATAAGGTGCGAGAGGTCCCAAGTTCAATTCTCGGAATGCCCCACCATTTTCTTTTCCCAATTTCACCAAGAGGTTTACGCATCTGAAGAAATCTAAGTGTCAAGTGATGATCACTGATCTTCCACTGTTTTTTGTGATTACGCATAAGCTGCAGTTTTGTCCCCACTACACACTAATCTACTTGTGATTTTACCATTGTCACAATCACCAACAATAGACAAATCAAAAACAAACTAATCAAACAACTTTTCGAAGACTAGCCCCTTAGATTAGTTGTTCAAGACTCTGCAATCCACCCTTTCCCCTCGCTTCTCGCTTCTCGCTTCTCGCTTTGGCCAAAAACAAGGTCTATATATAGACTCTATCTTCGTCCAAGAACATATCCAACTTCCGGCTTGTCCTTTCCAAAAGAAGAATTTCATCAAAGTAAATGTGCATTCGACATTTTAACAGCTCTTCAAAATTCTTCCAAGTGGTAAAATTCCCAAGTAACGCTTTTACTACAGATAATCCAAGTTCAGATTCTTCTTCCACATCCAATCATACCAGCTTTCATAGACACCCCTGAAACTTCTCGAGGATCATATCAGAATGCTGAAAGACTGCACGAAACCTCAGAGTGCGAGACTCAAAATTACCAATGTTGGTTCAAAGGATAACAGGACTGTCACCAGCAATCGCAAAATTCACATATTCAATCACATTATATGCCTGGATTTGGAAGATGATGATTTGCAGGATGAGAGGAGGCAGCTTGCTTACTCCTAAACACTCCCCACAAATAGTACTTGCCCTGGAATCCTGCAAATTAAAATTTCAAGCAAGAAACTGATTACCAAACTGTAGAAAACCAAACAAATCAGGAGGACTGGAAATTCTCATAGAACACAGAAATCTGGGCTCACTCCAGTATAGCAGTGGCAACTCCATAGAAGTGAAAACTAAAAGCTCGGCATTTTTTACGATGGCTCTCATGGCAAGTTCTTGAAGTCTCATCTCATCTACCAAATAGTCGAAAACCCTTTCATGTCTGTAACGAGAAAAATTGAACTTGAGATTGGACCAAAATTAGGAGAAACTAGGGACAAAAATTAAATGAAATTGAAACCAACACCTTGTGTCTAGTGGGAAGAAATATAGGGCAATATTGTCATCACATGGCTCAAATTTCTGAAAACTCTTTGGCCATAACTCAGACTTGGGAAGCATCTCAAAGCAAAGGAATGACGGAAACAGCCCAGCCTCATCAAACACTTTTTGGCATGCTTTGTTTGATAAATGGGCTACAAATCCATCGAATATTTCCTTATCCTTGTTAAGGATACAAAAACTTCCCCTGTCAGCAGAACAACCAACCAGCAGAAAGAAGTTTAAGTTTTAGGCAATTACACAATTCACATCCTTGCACATAAAATGCAGAAGAAAATGTAATTTTTTACCTCCAAATTGGATCAATCACTGGCTGTGCAAGTCCATGGCAGTAGTTTGCTAAACTATTTGACAAATCATTAATAGTTATTTGAGATCCCTTATTATCGAATCGGCTCCGACCGTCAAGTGTCATTCTCCTTTCTTGTCCAGGCTTCACTTTTTTTCCATGATTGTCACTGCACATGGAGATAATCCTCATCTCCTCATAAGCGCCAGAGCATTTATCCACCAAAGAATCATGCTTAGTGGAGTCAGGTTCTGTACGTGTCACACAAGGCTCCTGGGAGGAGGGACTTTGACGATTGGCCATCTCAACTACTGAGCAGGTAACATCAGTTTTCCTACTCGACATTATCTTCTGGGGAGAACAGTCATGCCTTAAGTTAGCATGCTCCATCAAGCCAAGGTTTCGATTTGGCTTGATTCGTTGCTGGGAGGAACAATTTTGTCTCTGCTCCCTTGTCTTGGTTATTGAGCAGGAAGAATCTCTCAATTTCATTGAAGAGGGAGAGGAAGAATCACTCCGTAAATGAGCATCCCCAGTCACGTCCATATTTTCGCATGCTTCAGGAGATAGCGAAAATGGGCCACTTTGAAGTATCTGCTCCTCTGTCTCGGCTACTGAGCACGTGAAGCCCAACAATTGAGCATGCTCGCTGACATCAAGCTTTGTATATGCCTCAGAAGGTTGCTGGGAGGAGGTACTTTGATGGCTTGGTTCCCTCACCTCCACTACTGAGATGGTACCATATTTCTTTGCTCTTGCTTTTCTCTCAGTTGCCAGACAACTACTGTTCTTTTTCTTCAATTTTGCTCTAGAATGGATTGTTTCAAGAGGTTCTGAACCTCTATGATCCCTTTTCCGGGATTGGAAAGAGCTAGATCTCTGGAATGTAGAATGGTTTGGCAAGTTTGGTTTACAGTCCTCACAAAACCAATGGACAAATTCACCAAAAGTCTCCGGCAATTTATCCAAGCAGTAGCTAGAAAAAAAGAAGTGTAAAGACCAAGAACATGTTAAAAATTAATCAACCACACATCTGCAGCATTAAGAATTGGTTACTAATGTAATTCCATGTTATTTTACTTATATCTCAATCTATCGTTTCAATTGCATTTGCACGTGACATTAACTGTCAAGCACGCACAAACTAGATTTACAAAAGCGCCATTTCAATCATCGCTTATCACGGTGTGCTATGCTTTGAAAAACCCCCATTTTTTGGAATGAATCTATGCCTTCAAGGATCAAAAAATGAGACGGAATATTATTTTGTAACCAGGGGCAGAGTCCAGAATTTAGGGAAGCTTTAATTTATCTCCCCTAATTAAGAAACATAAGATTATATATTTATGTTTATTAACGTAAAATTAAATCGTTGAAAAATAGAGGCTAATGAAGGTAAATTTCAAGCACTAAGATTTACACAAAAAAGCCATGCAATGTACTGTCGCATACTCGGATCTTAGAAAAGCCACAACTCTTCGGAGAGTTCCACAGTTGTTGCATTTTCCCTCTCAAGTTCTCTCCAATTCTATTGGTCACTCCCTCGATTTTGTGTCTAGCAAGAACACTCACCTGATCCTCCCCAAACCCCACAATGGCAGACACCTCATGAGCATGATTGCCTTGTGCATGGCAGCAGACAGCCAATTATTTCCAAAGCAAAAAAAAAAGACAGGAGAATGGACAAAACAAGCCAGCACCACTAATCAGACAATACACATTGAAAAACAAAAATGGAAGTGAAGTAACTTACCGGTGGACAGCAACATCCAGACACTTAAGGCAGTAAACCAAAGCGTTCGAGAAACCTTTGTCACCACACTGCAGACATTTTGTCACCTGCAACAACACATGAACACACAATGTAGAATGAGGTTATATTCCTCAGGACCCCCGACTTCCACCATAAAGCTAGAATAAACCTACAATCAACAGTCATCTTGTGAAGATCAGGCACCTATAATGTTAGGAATTAGAATGCAGTAAAACATCTCTTAGTCAAAGACCACTTCAAAATGCTTCATTTTTGGGGGGAAAATGCTTTGATTGAATGGATACCCCCACATACAAAGCTATCCATAGTAGAATCAAAGAATATCATTCTGCATACTAGGTTTCATGGGATGTAAAGGGGTGTGCAGTGGTGCCTGAAACTGCCCCACCTTCAAATATGGGCAACCCTGGTCAGGTAACACAATCTATATCCCATAATTATCCAATATGCTTTCCATCATATGTCCCAATATATTCCATCTTCCCATGTTGGTCACTGGAATGTGCCAAAAAAGACTGCTAGTAAATAACAGTGCACATGGTATTAAGCAGGAACAC